AGCATATGCATCTGTATTAATCTTTTTCTATTATTATAACAAAATACTTGAGGTTAGGTTCTTTATTTAGCTCACATGTTTGGAAGCTGAAAGTCTAGGATCAATAGCTTCTTCTGTGTGGCCTGAGGTCAGGGCTCTCTTGGCTGCGTGACAACATGGTGGAAGCACATGGAAAAGGGAGAGATCACATGGTACGACAGAAAGCCAGAGAGAAACTCAGGGGCCAGATTTGCTCTTTTAATAACAACTCCCTCTTGATGAAATTAAATGGGGTCCCTTGTCCCTTGAGAGCTACAGTAAACCCTCATGAGGACAGTGCCCCCTTGATTGACCTATCTCCTACCTGAGCCCCATCTCATAAAGGTTAAACCACCTCTTAGTACTGCCTCATTGGGGACCAAGCCTCCAGTGCAGGAAGCCTTGGTAGACAAACCACATCCAAACCATTGCAGCATCTTATACAGCTTTACTATTTCAAATATTCCTATCCAGGAATCTGTTGTGTCCCTTCATCTATTCAGGTTCTTTCTATGTCTTTCTGTAATAACATCTTCACATGATTCTTAACTTTTTTTTTATTGTGTTTGTTTCTAGGTATTTCATGGTTGTAATCAGGATCAATCTCTCTCCTTCTACCACACACACACACACACACACACACACACACAGCACTTTTAAACTGGTTATTGCTAATAGAAAATTCTGACCTTTGGTGATGTGTATTTGGCAACATAATGAGTAACCTTGTTGTTTCAGAGGTAGTTCTTTTTCAGGTTCTTTTCAGTTGCTTCTCAATGTGTCTGTGAATTTATATCTTATAACTTTTTCTAACTTTATTACATTAGCCAGTATTTTAGAGATAGCGAGTATTCTTCTTGAATGACATTATGAATTTTAACTTTACCATTTGGATTTTATCTGGACCATGTCTTTTCACTCAATCTCTATAATTACTGTTAGAGACTGTCAGTTGCCTTAATAAAAAGCCAGCTTTAAAGTGTCGATGATTTTTTTATGACCTCACTAGTAAATCTTCATGGGATGCCCTCACAATATCTCCTAGTGATTTGCCTTTTCCTTCTTGTATTTTTTTAAAGCTTACTTAAAAATCCATTCTTAAAAACCTTTCAGAGATAGATTAGATGACATGTTTTTAACATGACATTTGCATGCCTCTAAGCCATTTGGTACTTTCTCTCTTCGAGGATTTCTCACTTTTCCTTAGCTGGAATTCTGACCTTGAGTGGTAACGGCTTAAGAAACATCAGAGAGTCTTCTATGAAGAGGGAAGGAATGAGAATGAGTGAGTGATCCCATTGGCTCCAAACGATCAGTATTGGGAAAGTCATGGTGGTTGAATAGATTAAACCTGTGTATATTATTGGCGTATCACAACCAAACTGCCATGAACACCACTGACAGTCTCCCAGCTTAGAGATTTAACTTGTTTGTACATATCACAGGGAGTCAAGTTTACTGTCATGATACAAGTTTGTATCACAGTTCTTTGATTTGCTTTATTGAATGGGAAAGAAAGAATGGAGTTACATGGGGAATCCAGGGACTCGTGTATAATTCAGCCTGTCATATCAAACTACATCCCTTAGATGATGGCTTTGACAAAGTCTTTTTTTTAATCATGTATTTGGTCTCCTCTTTTTTTTATATCATCTTTACTTTATTTATTTATTTATTTTTATGTGGTGCTGAGGATTGAACCCAGGGCCTTGCATGTGCTAGGTGAGCGCTCTACTGCTGAGCAACAACCCCAGCCCCAACAAAGTCTTACATGTTAGTTATGTGCTTGTCAAATACATTATAAATGTCACGCAAAATTTTAAAAATCAGAACAGACAATTCCAAGACCAAAGCAAATAACCAACCCATTTCAGCATCTACAGTGTTACTGGGTTAACTCTGTTCTAAATATTTTTGTTTTTCTCCCCAGTCTGGGTATGTCCTTGAGAAAGTATGTATAGTGATTAGAAAAAAAAAGTAGGAAGTCATTGGAGTGAAATCTACTTTAATAAATTAGTCTGTGGTCTTATATTTTCACTGTGAAAATTATTAAAATATGATAGAGGTTGTGTTCTTTAGAGAGTGGGGGAGTATTAAATCAGGATGTATCTGCAAACCATGCATATGTTGGATTTGATGGTGTTGCTCCTGAGTGCACCCAGGATTGTTGGCTTGATAAGACAGAAAACTTGATATAATGTAAATGAAGAGTGAAAGTGTGGGACTCTCTAGAGGACAATGAAGTCATGCTATTTTAAAGAATCTGTCATTACAGAGGAACTGGTAGATGCTATTATACACACGCACACACACACACACACACACACACACAAAGGTAAAAGGAAAAGCAAAGACTTTTTCAATTGCCTGAGCCATGTTATGATTTCACTGGGTGAAAAACCCTGGTAAACGAGAATATGGATTGAATGATGCTAAATGGCACATGGTGTCAGAACCCCCTGGAGAGGCTCTCTGTGAAAAGAGTGAGGGTCAATGTTAGGTTTGATTTCATCTAATTGTTTTATCAATGACACTGAAAAAGGAGCCCACATCAGCTTAATGAACTTTACAGAAAATGCAAAATTGGGAAATGTTCTTAATGTCAGTGAGGAGTAAAGCATAATAAAAATGATTCCAGAGAGGTAAGAAATATAGGCAGGAAATAACAAAATGAAATTCAATTTGAAGAAAGGCAGAGTAACACATTGGGGGAACATGAATCTCAAGCACTGTAGGATAGTCACCAGGAGGCCAGGAGGCTGCTCCTGCGAAGGGATTCTGAGCCATTATTGAAGGTGAATTAGATGTGAGCTTGCAACGTGACACTACAGCACAGCAGCCAGTGACATCTCTGTCCACCTACAAATCTGCCTGGAGTCCCTTGGAAGGAAGGCGCGTACGTCATGTGTACTACACTGGTGAGACTCTAATGGGACCTCACAGTCAGCTTTGGGAAATTCATTTCCAGAAAGATAGATTCAAAGTAGAGAAAAAAGTAAAAACATGATAAGGAAATGAGCTGCAGCCTTCAGGGATATGATCTGTTCCTTCAGTTGAAGAAGATTTGCTTGGCTCAATGAAGAGACTGCATTGGAAAATACCGTGAGCCAGCCCTAGGTGGATTCATTTATCCTTTTACTCCGTGATATGTATTTTAGGCTGTTTCTCATTCCTTTAACAAAATTCCTGAGACTGGCTAATTTATAAATAATAGAGATTTATTTAGCTCATGGTTTTAGTGGCTGGGAAGTCCAAGAGCAACAAGGGCTTCTTGCTGCATCACAATGTCGTAGAGAGCGTCACATGGTAAGATGGAACATACATGCTAGAGAGAGTTCACTTTTATAACAAAGCCACACTTGGGATAACCATTAGTTCATTGATCTGTCAAAGGATTTGTCCATTCTTGAGGGCAGATCCCTCATGGTCCAGTAACTTCCCAAAGATCCCACCTGTCAATATTGCTGCATTGGGGACCAAGTTTCTAATGCATGAACTTCTTTGGGGAGAAACACTCAAACCATAGCAGCAGGTAATCCGACAGCTTCTCTGAACCTGATCATTGCAGTCACAGAAATCTGGAAACCAGTGGCTGGGCGCATTCTGTGGGAAGTAAATACACAGATGGGCAATTATGTGCATATACATATATACACACATATACAACGTGGGAACAAAGGCAAAAATAAACACAGGACACCGTGGGTCCATCACTAGAGGGTCCCTCAAAGACCAAGACAGAGGGCAATGCTAGACGGACACAGGCAGTTAACCGAGGAGTGCCGTGGATAAGACACTGTGCATCATGCATGGGCTTGTACTGTATAAAGGAGTTTCTACTTCATTTTATAGGCTAGCATTCTTAACCTTGCTTGATGATAAGAATCACTGGGGTCATTTTTTTTTTTAACATACCACATTTTATTTATTCATTCATCTGTTGATGGGCACCTTGGCTAGAATTTTAACAATGTTTCACATTTAAGTAATTGATGACATTTTACATTTATTTTTGTGTAGAATCCATCAGTATGACTTGGAATTGATCTTTTTTATTATTTATTTATTCTAATTTGTTATACATGACAGCAGAATGCAATTCATTTCATATTACACATATAGAGCACAATTTTCCAAGTCACTGATTGTACACAAAGTATTTTCACACCATTTGTGTCTTTATACATGTACTTAGGGTAATGATGTCTAACTCATTCCATCATCATTCCTACCCCTTTGCCCCTTCCCTTCCCCTCCCTCCCCTTTTACCTATCTAAAATTCCTCCATTCCTCCCATGCTTCATTGCCATTATGAGTCAGCATCCTTGTATGAAAGAGAACTTCTGGCCTTCGGTTTTTTGGGCTTGGTTTACTTCACTTAGCATTATATTCTCCAACTCCATCCCTTTACCTGCAAATGCCACGATTTTATTCTCTTTTAATGCTGAGTAATGTTTCATTGTGTATATATACCAAAGTTTCCCTATCCATTCATCTACTGAAGGGCATCTGGGTTGGTTCCACAGTTTAGCTATTGTGAATTGTTCTGCTATAAACATTGATGTCGCTGTGTCCCTATAGTATGCTGTTTTTAAGTCCTTTGGGTATAAGCTGAGGAGTGGGATAGCTGGGTCAAATGGTGGTTCCATTCCAAATGTTTCAAGGAATCTCCATACTGCTTTCCAGATTGGCTGCACCAATTTGCAATTCCACCAGCAATGTATGAGTGTGCCTTTCCCCCCACATCCTCACCAACACTTATTGCTCTTTGTATTCTTGATAGCTGCTATTCTGACTGGAATGAGATGAAATCTTAGAGTAGTTTTGATTTGCATTTCTCTAATTACTAGATATTGAACATTTTTTCATATGTTTGTTGATTGATGATATATCCTCTTCTGAGAAGTGTCTCTTCAGTTTTGGGGCCCATTTATTGATTGGGATGCTTTTTTTTTTTTTTTTTTTTTTTTTTTGGTGCTAAGGTTTTTGAGTGCTTTATATATCCTAGAGATTAGTGCTCTATCTGATGTGCTTGTGGTAAAGATTTGCTCCCATTCTTTAGGCTCTCTATTCACCTCACTGATTGTTTCTTTGGCTGAGAAGAAGCTTTTTAGTTTGAATCCATCCCATTTATTGATTCTTGGTTTTAATTCTTGCACCATAGAGAGTCTTATTAAGGAAGTTGGGGCCTAATCTGACATGATGGAGATTTGGGCCTACTTTTTCTTCCATTAGGTGCAAGGTCACTGGGGCCGTTGTTAACATGCAGGTTCCCCAGCATCTGCCAGGGGATTCTGGTTGTTTAGACTGGGATAGAATCTAGTGTGGAATATGCAGTTGAGGGGAATCTTACCTCTAGGCAGGTTAGGGAATCTGCACTAGTGCTTTAAGCCATGGAAAGCTTTTGAAGGATTCCTCTGGTGGTTGCTTGGATCGTGGATCTGTGGGCCCAGACTAGACAGGGAAAAGGCAGAGTGCTTTGTAGTTGCATAAACTTAAAATGATAAGAGGAAAAAATTTGGCAGTAGCAATGAAGAGACATTAGGACATCAAATAAGAAGTCTTTGCTAATTGGGCAAGGGAGAGCTTTAGAATAAACCCAGAGGTCTTCTCAATAAGTTTGTATGGGCTGGTGCCCATGGCTGACAAAGGGACCATGAAAGGGAAGATTTTTTTTTTTTAACCTGATAGGCATTATAGCTAGTACAGAGAGATTCTCAAATTCCTTTGGTTTTTGGTGCCTTTAGGTTAAAAAAAAATAATCATCTAACAGTTTTTCTTTTAATGTAGTTGGGTGCAGCAATTTAAAATAAGCATCTTTGCCTTAAAAACTTCAAGCATCAGATGTTCCTATAAGCCAAGACAAGTGTTCTTGTCCTCTTCAGAGTAAATTCTGAGATCACCTTTGACCTTATCCTAAATGCTTGGGACCAGAAGGGTTTCAGATTTTGGATTTTGTTTTTCAGATTTTTGGAATATTTTCATGTACTTTATTCTGAAACAGTTCTCAAAGCATTTCAGATTGTGGATTTTCAGATTTGAGATGCTCAACTTGTAGGTAGCGAGCTGTAGCAATTATTTTTTCAAATAATGATATTTTCTGAAGAAACGTACTTTGCCCTGTAGATGCCAAGTTGTGTCTGACCCTGTGTCCCTCTTCCCCATTCCATGTTGACTGGTCACTTGCTGTGTGTCTTGCGTGCAGTTTATAAATCAAGCCGCTGTCTTCCCGTGACTGGAACATCCTGATGGCCCCTCAACATGCCCTTCACCCTCTTACCCTCTGCCGCTACATCAGGGCCCTTGTGTTTGTGTTCTGTCCCCTGCGTTCTGTAGTAATTTCCTCTCCTCTCATTGCCTCCTCCGCTCTCCCCAAGCTTTGGGAGTCTCCCTGACTTTGTGTCTTCTACATCTTGTTTGGTGTTCTACTATTCCCAGATTTGTCCTCTGAAGGCACTCACATGGTCTGGTCTATAGCAGGAAATGGGAATTTGGTAGATTTGCTCAGGATAAGGATTGCCTCTGGCTTCAGTAGGAGGTTGGATGACATCCTAAGCCTGGCTGTTTCTTCGGGTGTAGACAGCAGAATTTCCAAGATGAAGCCATGGGGCTCTTGTTCAAGGACAGACCTCAGCCTCAGGTGCCACACAACAGTCACTGGTGGAGAGCTCTGAGATAGGCCAGTCTGAAAGGGCTCACCCTGAGGGCATGGCATGGGCACTTCACACCAGAGAGCATGAGATTGGCATTGTTTGCAGGAATGATGTTGCCTTAGAATTTTTTGCATGGTTTTTGATGGTGTTTCAGTCCAGTTCTGCAACTTGTAGATTCAGAACCTTTTTAACATTTGGAGTAAAACTAATCTCCATATTTTTAAAGAAGAACCCTTCATAAACTGTGAAAATGCTAATAACAGAAGCTATTTACAAAGGCTGTCTCCTGCAATTTAATCAATATTTCATTCTAACCCCACATAGCACATTTTCACAAGCCAAATTGTTATTTGATTTAAGATTATGTAAGTCAGTTTTCAATGTGGTAAATGGACAAAGCGAATGAAAAATTCCCTAACCGTGTTTTGGGGGAAAATTAGACCAAAATTTATCATCTGACTGTTTGACCCCAAAATGTGAAAGGAAATTTAATAATTAGATCTGAAGTGAAAACCACAGGGAATTAATACTTCAAGTTTCAGTGGAAGAAATTAACTAAATAATTCCCTTTTCTCTGGAGACGTGGAAGAGATAATTAGGAATGAGACTTACTAAACATTTAGAGCTACTGCTTAATTAAGCAAGCACACATCATGGTGTTTAGTGTCAACAGGTCCAGACTCTCAAACAAACTGACAATCGGAGTGTAATTTAAACACCACTTAGAATCATTCGTCATTGTGCAGACCCTCAAGCCCACTGGTCTTGGAAGATGTTAGATTAAAAACTGAAACTCAAACATATATGAAATTTCAGTTTATGACACTGTCATCATTGTGTGTTGCCTAAAGAGATGGAAGGGTGGAGATTTTCACCCGTACCCTCCTGGATGCCCACCTTATAATCCAGAGGGTGAGGGGTGTGTACATATGAGTATACGTTTTCTTCTTCTGTGCATGCTCCCCTGTGCCACAGCTTGTACACAGAAGGGGCACCATAACAAGCTTTTGGATGAAAGAATGAGTGAGTGGTTTAAACTCCACGGTATAATGCCCCATTAAACTGTCAACATGGAGTGAAAAGCCTGCTGTATATTGAGGGGGCCAGTTAATAAACTCTCATTTTAACATTTCAATATTCCTAACTACAATTTGGACACATCGAGATGAACTTTGCATTCTGAAATTGGCTTCCTTTCAAAATGCTAACTTTTTTTTTTCCAACTGCCTTGTCATCATGGGAAGTATACTTAAGATCTATTTTTTTTTCCTTTGCTTTGCTTTGTTTGCTAGAGTTTATGTTAGACAGAGTGCAATAGGAAAGAGTGGGTTAAACTAGACAAAATTGGAGCCTTACTGTTCTCATCAGCTGCTTCACGCAGGTCACTCAGAGTTCTTACTGACATACATGGCTTTGTCTGAGCCCCAAGAGAGACTGCCTTTGACCTGGGTCTTGGAGAGTCAAGGGAGAAAGGAAGTAATACGCAAACTTCTGAGAGCAGAAACAGAAGGTCTCTGTGTCTCTGGGGTGACAGTTGCCTCCCCTGAGAATGCTGATCCGGTTATAAATAGTAGGGACACAGCTACAGTTTAACAGTTTTAACATCCTGTCCTTGAATGAGAAGGGACAGTGAACTGAGTAGATTAACTTGTGAATTTGGAGCAAAGGTGTTGATTCATTTTTCTTTCACTCAAGCACCTTTTCTTATTTGGTATCCCCCTACTCTTCGATCGCCTTACATTTTTCTCTCTCACTGATCTGTGTAAGATGCTGCCTAAGGAAACTGAGGCAAGATGTTCTCCCTCTGAGTGAAAATTAGCAAGGCCCACATGCTGAGGACCAGGGCCCTCTGCTTAAGGATTACTGCTTTCCTCCTGGAGGAAACTAAACACTCACAGGCCATAAAATAATCAGAAAGGTCATAAAGCATGCAACTCGAGGCCAAAATAGTGGCCTGGCTTTCAGTAGGTCCCCATAGCTCCTGGGGCTCCAGGTACAGGAAGCTATGCTGGGTAGGATGGGGCCTCTTTTCCCAGCCTTCCAGAATATAGCAATGTCTTTGTCCTGCCTCCAGATTCTCTTTGAATGACCTTGACCCACTAATATGATACCACAAACATACCACACATAATTCATCCATTTTTTTGTTGTTATTGTTTTTTGTTGTTGTTGTTATTAAACTAGAATGAGATGAAATCTCATTCTGTTGCCCAGGTTGGCCCTGAACTCCCAGGCTCAAGCCATCCTTTTATCGAAGCCTCCTGAGTAGATGGTTCTGTGGGTATGTGCCACCGTGCCTGGCTTCCTTCCTTCATTCAATGTAGCTATAACTCAAACTAAGAGCCAAGAAGTTGTTGTTATTATTATTATTATTGTATTGTATTATTATTATTGTATTATTGGTGTTATTATTATTATTATTTCTCTCTCTTCTCTCTCTCTCTCTCTCTCTCTCTCTCTTTCATGGTGCTGGGGATCAATCCCAGGGCTTTGCACATGGTAGGAAATGCTGTACCACTGAGCCATGACCCCAGCCCCAGTAGCTTTTTCTGCACATTATATTCTTCTACACTGGTGCATGTTATTTAAAGGCCCCTCTGGAGTCCTTCATGAACACAACCTTTTGTGAGAGGTTTACTCCTTATGTTTTGTTGTTCCTCTTGCTTCCCTGGGTTGAATTGTTAAGTTTTGAGTTCTAGACTTTGCCTGGGACTGGACAGGAGATGGAGGCCTGGGTCTGGTTCCTCATGACTGAATATCCTATCCCACGTCTCCTTGGACTTTGTTCCCATCTCTCTTCCAGGAGTGCCTAAGGCAGGGAGCCTGGAGCCTCAGAATCTCCTGGGAGATGTCCCCCTAATCAGAAGGATTCCAGAGTTCACTAGACACTTAGGGATGCGACCTGGGAATCTTCATTCTAACAAGAGCCAGACTTTGCCCACTAAGTATCACAAATCATGGCCTTAGGGTACCAAATGATGGCACTCCCTTTAGAATCAAGAGCTATAGAATCTGAGAGAAAACTTCAGCTCTGGTTGACGAGCAGGAGAAACCAAAATGCCTAAGCCAGTCTCCCCACCTTGGGGCCAGTGTTTGCTCATCCTTGCTGTTGCTCCCCAGGATCTTCTTTTCTCTCTCCAAGCCTGGGTCCTCTTTACTCTCCTGTCAAATTCTGCATGCCAGAATGCTTTCTATGTCAGGATGTCTCTTACTTTGGATGTCACCTACAGATTTCCAGTCAAACTTTTTTTTGTTTTTTAATTGTAGGATTTTTGTTGAAGGAATTGGGGGCACAGTTGAACAGAAGGGATCTTTCCTAGGGTCTCTAAAAATCTTTTCCATGGATGACTGGGGTTCATCCAAATTACAGGTATCACATCCTCAGGGCTGTGAAGGCATCAGAGACCCCTGATGCCCTAAGGACATTGCCACCTGTCTTGGTGTGAACTCACAGCTCCAGCCAGTGAAATGCCCTCCCCAGGGAAGTTGTGGCTTTTTTTCCAAGTTAGGAATCCAGGTTCTTGGATCTCACTCATTTCGAGCTTGCTTTCCCTATAGGCTCATCAAAGGGGACTTGACTGAGGTTCTTTCTTTGCAACCAGCTTCCTCCAAACATGAGGCTGATACAGTTGGTTTGTCTGGGGAATCTCTGGGCTGCATTCTTCCTGGCTGTTTGATCCTGCGGTCACTTTCAGCCAGTTCTCCCCAGAGGGTCAGTGATGTGATGGATCTTACAACTTGCCACTTATTAGATCTCATCCCATCTACTCTCCTGAGGAGGGCCCTGAAAGGCCTGCTGTTCAGTCATCTAGGTCTTATCTCACATGGAAGGACAGATGGGCTCACTCCACTGGGTGCCAACTCGCAAGGAAAGGAGGAAGCAGTCAGGTGACTCTCGTCACTCTTCTCCACTGTGAGCCCTAAACTGGATGATCAAACAAATCAAAATGCATAGGAGTCAAACAAATTAAAATGCCACTTTATTTCTGATAAAGCTATATTGAGAAAGGTGTTTGATGCTAGGGTAAGTTGGGTTTCCTTCTACTTCTCTGATCGATGGTACCTGTCCGCATCTCCAGGCCCCCAACCTCTACATGGGAGCTAGAATCTTCATTCTCCCCTGTATATCTTAGTGGGAGGCGGACAGGGTCCTTGAATACCTTCCCTTGTTGAGCCCTCTTAATATTGAAAAAGAGAGAGTGGTCACAGTAGGGGTCTCTCTGGAAGGCAGGTCACTCCCAGCAGCTGGGGTATGAGACCTTACCTACAGGGCATGTAACATCTGCCCCCATGCAGCTTTGAGTGGGAGGCCAGTCTCACAGCACAAGGTCAAAGACAGGCCACCTTGAAAAGGGTGCTTAATAAGCTCCTCTTAATTGGAGGGGAGGGGAGCCAAGGTCAGAAGTTCACCTGGATCAGGGATCTTCTGCACCCACTGGAAAAGCAGAGGGTGGTGAGTGGAGGTGGGAAGGGGGAGATCCAGACAGTATCACTGCAGTCATGCTCCCCCTGGGAACAGATAGAAGCCCCAGTCCTGCTTCCCACCATGGAAAGCCCAGCACAAAGGAATGTCTCAGCCACCATCATGACCTTACAGGGCAATCCATTGGTTCAAACGTGAGCTAGACTCAAGGGTTTTCCATTTGGAGGGATTAGGCTGAGAACTCCCTCATCAGGGTGGTTCTGGGGAGGATAGGACTCCAAGGGCTAAGGAAGAACTAGCAATTTGAATATGAAAGGCTGCTCATTACCTTCTGAAATGTCAGTCTGGTGTCCAGCTGGGTCTCAAGGAGAGGGCCAACACACGGAGAGTGGATAGATTCATCATCTCTTGTTTGAAAGGCTGCAGCCTTCTGATAACTAAATCCAATGGAAACTGTTATAAATGATCTGGGACCAAGAGATTCGTATTTTGTTTCAGAACATCTTTGACCAACAGGAATAATATGCAGTTGGAAAATGTTCCCCTTTTTCTTTAGTGTACAAGACATTTTACTTTTATTTTATGATGCTGGGATCTAACCTAGAGCTCTGCACGTGCTAAGCATGAACTCTATCACTGAGTTGTACCCCAGCCCCAAGCAAGATGTTCTCTCCAAGCATGTCAGCCTCTTCCAGCCCCTCTGTCTCTGGGGCCTCTGCCATTCATGCTGACAGAACAAGTTGACCACGGTGAATTTGTATCAGCCACGGAGGGAGGTGCATTAATTGTTCACAGAGGCACAGCCCATCTGCTACAAAGCCCTTGCTCTCTAGCCAAAAGTCCTGTTTCTTACAGTCTGTGGGCTCAGACATATCCTCTGACCATGTATCAAATTCACTTTGAGATAACACAGGATTAACAGCTGAAACAAGATAGTTACAAGGGAAACTTGGGAAAGTTTCTGAAGCTCTGGCAGAGTCCCTGAAAAAGAGTTTGTTTCTTGTACAAACAGATAAGAGTATGACTGATATTGTTTATCTTTAGACACAAAACAAAGTTGTTGCTGTTTCCCATAAAATAACTGTATGGGGGAAAATGAGGAACACTAATTCTTTGCTTAGAGTCCCATTAGTTTAGAATCCCAGTTTGTGAGATTTTTCAACATGTGTCTCCATATATTTATTAGGGAGAACTTGACACCTTATATCAACTAAGGCAAGGAAACTGTAGTTTGGTTAAATTAAGAACCCACTATTTCTGCTACTGAAAGATAAATGAACATGATCTTTGCACCTACCTTGGCTGGGATGGAAGTAGCCCGTTGCAGTGGTAGAGATTTAGCCACAAGGAGAGGAACACTTTCTTGTTGATCATCTGGGCAAATTAAAGATTCCCACTCTAAGGCATAGGGCGATGGCAAAGGACCCTTTGAGGCATGGGAATTGGAGTAGTGAATACAATAGGCAAAAATCCTCTTCTTAGGGCCCTAAGGTCCTTGTGGATAGAGATGGCTGACTAGGTCCTGTGGCTGTTCTAAGCACTTCACTCATGTTAATCCATTTGACCTGCACACATACCTTAACATAGGCACTTAATTTCACCCTAATTTTACAAATGGGGAAACTAAGGTACAAGAAAGTTCGATGACCTGTCCAAGTGGCAATTTGGTATTTCAATCCAGTGTACACGTGAGTGTACCTCACAGACTTTAAAGTGCATGCAATTCACCAAGGGATCTAAGTTAAAAAGTAGATTTGGATTCAGCGGGTCTGGGATGGGGGCTGCAATGCTGCACTTCTGACAAGCAGGTAACCCTGATGCTGTTGATCCATGGGCCACATTTGGAGGGTCAAGTTTCCAGATCGTGATAGAGATGGGTTTATTACACATTTCTGTGTTGACTTCACTAGGTCTTTGTGCAGTTTTCCTTTTCTAGGCTCAGTTGAAAAACCCAGTCATGCTAACTCAAAAAAGGGCAGTGTGGTTTAAGGATACAGAACTCATGGATTGCAAGGATCATGACATGTGGCTATTTACATTTAAATTCATTAAAATTAAGACAATTACAGCCAGGCCTACTGGCATACACCTATAATCCCAGCTCCATAGGGGATCCAGGCAAGAGGATTGCAAGCTTGAGGCCAGCTCTGGCAACTGGAAGTGTTTCTTAATGATAGAATGTTTGCCTAGCATGTGCGGGCCCTGGGTTTAACCCCCAGTATTGCAAAAATTTTTTAAAAACTACAGATTCACTTCCTTAGTCATGCTAGCCACATTTAAGTACTCTGTAGACACATGTGGTCAGTGGCTACTCTATTGGACAGTACAGATACAGAAGGTCTCCACTGTCTCAGAAAGTTCTATTGGACAATAATCTCATTCCTTGATATTGTAAATTTTTGTCTTTTTAATTTTTACCCGTGATGATGCCACTCCTATTCAACCTGTCCAAAATTCTAGGCTCCTTACTGTGATGTTCAGTTTTACTTATAACTCAATTCTGTTTCTGTACCTGTGGAAAGCAGGCACAGTAAATTCAGTGATAACCACCAACAGAAAGAAGACAAAATAACCTCAAAATCAGAGACTCGTTGCTCTGGGGGGGGGGGGGCTGTCTTGCATGGAGAGTGGTGCTTAGAACACTGACCTGGAGTCATTGCACAACTCTAGCCCCTGTATCCGGGAATACACTACATTTCAGAAAGAACTGCATTAAAATGGTGAAATAGTGTTTTAGTCCTTGGACTTCCCACCAGGATATTCTGTATTTAGCAAGTGTATATGACAAATTGGGCTTTTATTGAGTTGCAATTTGGCTTGGTCATTGAATGACTTTTCAACACAACTTATTGCACCTGTCTTGGGCCGGTGTTTTTCAGGTGTTTAGTGTAAGTCATTGTGCCTTTCCTTGCCTCTGAGCTGTGGCCATTAAACTGTGGTTTTTCCAGTGTGAAAATTATTTTATAAATTTAAGTGCTGGGTGTACCCTATAGCATTATTTTTTTATGTTACGGTGTCGGCCAGGACTGTGAGCTACTGTACTTGATTCGTGCTGTTACTTTTGTGTCTTCCAGTGATTTCCCTCAAAGATTCTGAAGATTCATCTTTTGAGAAAAAGAAAGAAACCTGGGCATTTTTTGAAGGTAAATCTGACATATTTATTATAAGTTGCAGCCTCATTTTTAGACAAGAATAAGAACAGATTCTAGTTTCTTAGTTTTGTCATATGGTCACATTGTTTTCTTGGCCTAAACTTACTCAAGAGTGAGAGGAGAAGCCTTGATCATCCCAGTCTATAGGTTTGGAAAAAGTGGAAGATAAAGCACCACCTGCTTAATTTTTGTTTGATTGTTTTGCTTCTAGGTGATTTGAAGGAGGCATCTTCAAGTGATCTAAAAATGAAAAGTAAATTTTATCTCAGGTTGTTAAAGAACTGAGTTTCTAGAAAGAGTTTGAAAACCTAAGTGAGTGGTTTTCCACCCATGTTAGAATCACCAGGGGTTTTTTAAAACACTAATGCCTGGACCACATCGAGATTCTGACTTAGGTAGAACCTGTTAAAAGCTACCCAGATGATCCCAGTTGGGCCTTAGAAGTGGTTTCCAAAACACAGCAGTAGCATCACTTGGAATCTTGTTATAGATGTACATCATCAGGCCATACTCTAGCTTATAGTCAAAACTCTGAGGTGGTACCCAGCATTTGGGTTTTAATAAGCCTTCTGGATGATTTGGACGCATACTCAGGTTTGAGCTTTGGAGCAAGAGTTCTCAACAGGTGGTAATTTTGTCCCTCTGGGGGACATTTCTCAAAATCTAGAGACATTCTGGGTCGTCACAACTGTGGGGGTGCTGACACTGAATGGATAGAGGCCAGAGAAGATATTAAGTAAATAGAAGACAGTCCTAGCATCAAAGAATTGGCCCCAAATGTCAAGAGTACTGAGGCTGCAGAACCCTCCTTTCAAGAAAGAAAAGTATAGAGAAATTATTATCACAAAGTGACTGAGGATTATAACCATGAGCAATGAAAGTACGTACTTTGTAAGTTCTCAGGCAGAGCCTTTGATCGTGGAGGGATTGGCTGATGTTAAAAGAGGTTCAGACTTGGGGAGGATTATGTCTTGCAAAGGCATGGGATTTATTGATGAGGATAACCTAGCCAGAAGATCTAAGAAGAGGCATAAACCCAACTAGTGGGAGGCAGAAGGAGGGTGACCTTATGGTGAGAGCACTTGGATTTGAACCCACTCTTCCAGTAACTAGTGATAAAACAGTGCATGGAGGCAACTTCTGGTCTAGAAAAATAGAAATTTAATTATGAACATCATTTTCAAACCATGAATTTGCAAACTCCTTATCCTAATGGTTTTCTAGAATTTTTTGTTTAGTTTTATAGGCATGCGTATTTCATTGCTTAGATGGAGCTTTACTCCAACAATGATTCTTTGTATCCCCTGAATTTTCTTCTGCACCTTTCAGAAGCTCCTTTTTCTTTATCTGATGACTTTTTTTTTTCTAGTATATTATCCTGTTTCTTCCCTCAGTCTCTCATTCAGGGACTGCTTACTTATGGGCAGAGATGAAAGTGACCTTATTCCCCATAGAGTGAAACAGTAAAAAAAAAATTAAACTTTATCCTTTTTGTTGCAATTTAGTAAAATAGAAGCAGCCTAAATAATTTTTACCCCAAGTGTCTGGAGCTGCCTTGTGACCTGTGATGCATTTCGGTTTTGGAGATGAGGAATGTGACAGGGAAAACCCTGTGTATCATGAGATGCTAAGAATCTTCTGGTGAGGCTCAGGGCTCCACCCCTAAGATTCTGATTATTACATTAGGAATGGATGAAAGAATTTGCACTTTCTCAGGATCTGAGGTGGTTTTGATGCAAGTGGTTTGGAAGACCATGTTTTAAAAATAAGATGTTACCAGGACCAAGACCTCATGCATTTGGAAGGACTGCTGCAGTGTTTAACCTTGCCACACCTTGCAACATAATCAGAATCTCTAAACACTTAGCATAATTAGCAATCATTTGTAATTCATGTATAGCTATAGAATATTAGATTTTCTTCCAACCTAACCCTCTGCATGAAATCTGTAATGCAGTTCGTACTTTCTTCTCAGGAGAGAAAATCAAGTCCCTTTAGAAAGTTAGCACTGATGTCCTATGCATCATGCATGCCTCAGGGCGGCTCTTTACAAGCCTTCATTTCCTATGATTTCAGCAGCAGTAGTAGTAGTAGTAGCAGCAGCAGCAGCAGCAGCAAAGTCCATGTGTTTTGCTTTTTTAACCTGCCACAGTTTGGGAGAGAGGTCAGGGGTGCAGTTGAAACTCCCTGGCTCAGGATCCCAGGCCTTTTGCCCTTTTGTTCCTGGATGGGAGAGCTTCAGTGTGGGTTGTGGACGGATGTCCATCCTCTTGGGGCCTAACTTGGCCTGGCTGTGTGCCTGCTGAACAAAACAAGCATTGATTGTCAGACCTCTTGATGAGATGCTGGAGTGAGTTAAAATCCCTCTGGGCTATCGCTCAGGTATTTTGCCCTGAGCAAGATGGTATTACAGTATGCATTAAAGGAAAAAAAAAAGATGAAGGAGAAGAAGAAGAAGAAATACACAGAGTTTTATTTCCAGAACTGCAATCTCATAGAGTCTTGCATTTGCCCTGAAAATGTAAGCTACTGAATCTGATTTTCTTGATTTAGTGTTAGGGGGAGAGTGGGTTTCTTTGTGCTGAGGAATTCTGGGGCAGTGTGTTTCAAAGTTGTACTGAATATCTCTCCTGGCTTCCCAGGTAATAGGTACCATCCACCTTGCCCACCTTAGTTGGGTGCTGGCACACTGACATGGTTACCCCTGTCTCACCCTCCCTGTGGCACATGCAACCACTGTAGCCTACTGGCTGCACCATCTGTTTAGGAGAGGCCTGGGCATTTTCTTAAAATGGCAGTAGTGTCTTAGGAAGTCCAAAGGCAAAAGATAAAACTGGAAATGAATTCAGGACTATGACCCAAGTTTTGGAATTACTGTGAATTCAGGACTATGACCCAAGTTTTGGAATTACTTGTTATGTTGGAAATTGAATCCAGGGTCTCATGAATGCTGGGCAAGCACTCTACCATTGAACCACACCCCCAGACCTATGTGGCATTTTAAAAGCTGATTACAGAGTTGGTTAAATGCAGATGTTTTGTTAAATTTGAATCTGAAGGTTTAGCTTCAGCTGATGGATAAGTGTTGTTTGGCCAAATCTGAGGTTTGAAACTTTTGAGAGAACATTTATAATTAGAGAGCTTTTTATTTCATAAATAGTTAAAGGACAAGTTGGAAGACAGGGCAACATCAGGCCGACAATCCTGCCTGAGAACTGAGGCACGGTGGTGCTGCTTTGCCCCAGCTGTCACTGGGAAATGTGACCTTGGAATCTTATAACTTTGTGACCCTGGCTTCAATGACTGGTGGGGGGTGGGGGGAGGTTAGCCTTTGTAGTGAACACCAGGGGAGGGCAGTGGTGTCAGTATTTTGAGTAGAATCAGCAAGGCAGTTTGTCTTTATGCAGCAAAAGGAAGGATTGGAACAGAAGAAAAAAAAATTAGAACTTCAGGAGAACCAGTTGCTTCCCAAGCCAGGACACCCCAGGTATTCTGAATTTTTCTCCTTCTGGACAAGTGACAATTTTTAAAGTTCCTATAGCTTCAAGAGCAGAACGAAAAGCAGCTATGACCACCCCAGTGAGTATAGACACCCACATATGGGTGGATGGTGCCTGCTGGCCACCGTCCACAGCCCCTGGGGCCTGTGTGCTTGGCGGAGGAGCTGAGGCTTCTGGACTGGCCGGATGTTTTATGATTCTGTAGCCATGGCTGCCTGTGGAGAGCTAGTGCCTTTGTGGCACACTGAGGTGGCTGCAAGCAATCTGAAACTGTAACTCCGGCCTGGAACCCTTTGCCTCCTGCCTGGGTTGAGTGAGCCCCAGATGTGCACCGTATGCTGCTGTGTGAGAATCGCCAGTGTGATTCTCACCTGCAACCTGCTTCCACCTTATTTCCTACAGTCCCAAATCTAAGGAGAAATGTCAGACAAATAAGCAAGCTCCTGGTCAGGCTGCTCCGCTCCAGTGTCTCAGAAAGGAAGCGTTAGGAAGACAGTTTGTCTCACTGAAAGAAGAAACCTGAAGCCAGTTTGCCCTACCTTTTTGGTCCAGGGGGCTCACATCTCTGGAATTCCTTTGAGGTGGGTGTTGCAACCTCCTGCCTCAGTGCCATCTGGCTCGGCAACGTGACCATGCTATTTACCATACATGGCTCTGCGTTTCTCTTCCTGAAACAGTTTGCTCAATGGTGTATGAATCATGGACTGGCCTTGGGGTCACTGTGCTCTGGCCTGTCCTGAGTCCTAATATCCTGTTGTGAATCCTGGTCTGTGAACTCTGTCCTTCAGTTTGTCATCGAGTGTTTTGTCCATAGTCCAAGTGTCCCATTGCTGAGTTTTGAGTTGTTAAAACGGAGGCCTGAGTCTGTGTCCTGAATGACCACTCCACAGTTCTCCACCCTATTATCTATCAACCTCTCTATGGGAGACACAGGTGCCTCCATAAAAGGGCAGTTTTGATTTTAGTAATAGAAAAGAGCTTTCTTTATATCTGTGTTGAGCACCTCACATCCTAGCAATGCCATAACTTCTAATCTGGCTTCTGTCCCCTATCCCACTGATGTGGCTTTATTCCAGGACTTCCCCAGTAGCCTCTGGGTGGGAAAACCCAGAGGGTGTTTTCCAGTAGCACTTGATGCTATTATGGAGAAATTTCTTATAATGCTTTATAATGCTTCTAGAACTTTCCCTCCAGTTCTCTGTTTCCATAACTGACTCTGGGTTCATTTGTTGGAGACTTTTCCTTTAGTCACCCACCTGTCCAACTCCCTTAATATTAGTGTAGTTTCACCCTTCTCCTGAACTTGTCCTGTGCTGTTTCTACTTAACAGTTGTTCCTCGTCATCAGTGAAGAGTTGGTTCTGAGACTTCCCATCCCTCCCCTCTATTCCAAGGACACCAAAATCCATGGATTCCCAAGTCCCTTATATAAAATGTCATCATATTTCAATATAACCTACATACATCCTACTGTATACTTTAAATCTTTTCTAGATAACTTATAAAACTTAATATACTAGACAAATAGTTGTTGTGCTACAATGTCTAGAAGTATTGACAAGAAAAAAAAAGTCTGAACATGTTCAGTATAGTTGCAATTCTGTTTCTAAAATATTTTTGATACCATCTTAATTGAATCCATGGATATGGAAGCCACAGATATAGGGGGCAGACTGTATTTTATTTTTAGTCCAGACTTCTACATTGCCAGGGGAAAAACCTACTTAAACTAGCTTAAGTAAAAATGCTGACCAGGAGTGGCAAGATGGCATCCCTGGATCGGGTGAAGATACTGGTGTTGGGAGACTCAGGTGAGTGTCTAAACCCATCTCTGGGGCTCCCAACACTTTTCAGTTATCCATTACTCCTTACCCTTCACTGCTGTCCGCCAACTTCCTGGCTTTTCCTTCAGTAGCTGTGTTCCCTTTTGAAGCCTAAAGACTACACTTCGAAGAGGACTTTGCTCCATTCCACGAAGCCTCCTTGTCACTTGGGTGTGGGCTGAGGAGCTCAGGCCCTTCTCTGTGGTTGTGGTTTTCCATGTCTGGCTCCCGAGTGATCCCTGCTTAAGACAATTGCTTTATTTAAAATAGTAATAATAATAACAACAACAACAACTTTTTGTCAATTGCTTTATTGAAAAAAGTGCTGTTGCTAGTATTTTATTGGGAGCCATGTAAGGGTTCAGAAGTTAGGACAGTGCCTTCAAGATATTTTTTAAGTCAGATTTGCACCAAGAATGATACTGGCAAGCACTTTGGTATGTTAACTCATTTAATTCCTATATTAGTCCTTTGACCCCATTTTAGAGGAGGGAAAAGGGAGTCCCAGAGTTGTATTTGCAACTGGTTTGAACCCATGCGCTTAAACACATATAGGCAATGAAATAGTGAGTGGTACATCTATTTCACTCTTAATCCAAAACTGGATTTTCATATTCTCATTGAATCTTAATTGAAAAACCTATTATGTTCTAAATGGTATAAAATAGAGAAATGAAGACAAAGGCCACACTCAGATGTGGCTGGGACTTGACTGCTGAGCCCAACTTAATCCTAGTGTTAAAATACTTCTTTTGACACCCTGGACATTTAAAAACTACTGTTGAAATCTGCACCATTTGCCATAACCCAACCCTGCAGCCTTACTATCTTTCCTACCATAATCTACAACTCTCCTTAAAAACTTGAATAAATGCTAATTGTGTTTAAAAAATGCTGACCAGCACTAAGAAAATATGAGGATCTCATAGACTCCAAGGTAGAGGCTGCACTGGGCCTCCATGGGCCCTGGGCTGGGAAGGAGAGAGTTAAAACAGCCTGAATGTCTAATTCTACCTCCCTCACCCTTCCCTTTCACTGACCATCATCCTGACCTGCATCTCCAGGCTCCCCTGGGAAGCCAACCACCTGCCACCTCTTCTACCTGCCACCCCCAGCACATTGGCCTTTATAGTTTAAGCACTTAACTATCAGCATCTCCATATCCCAAGGGCTTTGCAAAAGTGCGCTCCTGTTGACTTGGCAATTCCACTTCTGGGAACTTAAGCTTACGAGCATAATGTGAGAAATGCATTAAGGCTTAAGAATCATTTGTTATGGGGACAACAGGCAGAAACACTGAGTGGCCAACAGCAAATGATTTGGACATTTTCATTTTCCAAAGTTTTCCAAAGTGGTCGTACCATTTTATATTACCATTGCCCGTGAACCAGTTTATCTGCACCCTTGCCAGTATTTTGTGTTATCTCTATTTTTTCTTCGAACCATTGTGAACAGTGTATGGGATATCTCAATGTGGTTTCATTTTACATTTATTTAATGACCCAGGAAATTGAACATGTTCTCATGTGTTTATTTGCCAGTGTACTTCTCCTTGATGAAATGTCTTTGCATGTTTTATCCATTTTCCTTAAGAGGATTGTCATTCATATTTTACTGTTGAGCTTTAAGAGTCTTTTATATTGTAGATTCTAATCCTCTGTTGGATATGCAGATTGCAACTATTTTCTCCCAGTCTGTAACTTTACTTTTGCTTCTGTATATATGGTTGTTTACAGAACAAGATTTTTCAGTGTTGATGAGTCAGGTTTTCTTTTCTTTTCTTTTTCTTTCTTTCCTTTTTCTTTTTGCAGTGCTGAGGATTGAACTCAGGGCCTCTCGTGCATGCTAGGCATCAGCTTTACCACTGAATTCTACCGTCTACCTTCAACTTTTAGTTATGTGGAGAGTACTTTAGGTGTCAAGTCTAAGAACTCTTTGCCTAGTCTTAGATCCCAAGGATTTTTTTCCTATGTTTTTTCTATAAGTTTTTTAGTTTGCATTTTAATTTTAGGCTTGTGGTTGACTTTGAGTTAATTTTTATATAGCATGAGAGGTTAATTATAATTTTATTTTTTGCTAATTGCTCCAGTGCCATTTATTGAAAGGCTATCCTTCCCCCATTGAATTGTTTTTGCAGTTGTCCAAAATCAATTGAGTATAATTGTGTGGATCTCTTTCTGGGCTCTCTGCTCTGTTTCTTTGGTGTGTGTCCAGGCCTCTACCAATACCACACTTTACCTTGATTACTTTATTGTGGGACTTTTAGAATTCCATTTTTTTAAAACTGATTTTGTGTGTTTTCCCCTGATGACTACCCTGGATGTGTCCTTGCATTTCAGATCTCTACATGTATGCCGTCCTTGTGTGCTGTGTGGGGATCCTCAGCGTTCTGCTCTTCACTCTGGTCATTGTCTGGCAGTCTGTGTTTCACAAGAGGAAATCCAGAGGTAAGAAACAGATAAGATCATGTCTGGAACAGGCGGATACTCTGCCCACAAATAGGCACAAGATGCTGGGCAAAGTATCACCTTGGTAGAAAAATCATCCCGAGTCAGGATTATTTACCTATGACTGGTAAGCAAAGTAAGTGAGATGTGTTTCCCTTAGTCACTGCTAAAATAAACTGTGGTCACTGCTGATGTGACTTAAATTCCCCTTTTCCTCAAATCCCTCCTCCTCCATTTCTGAGATCCCTAACTGCTCTCATATCATTCTCCTGGAAGAGGCTGTGTCATGGATGAGCCTGGGGTTGCATTAGGACTCTGCCTCTCAAGACTGAGTTTTTGGACACATTCCTAGATTATTTCTGAACGTGAGTTTCCTCGTTCATGACAGTGACTTGACAAGCCCTTTCTTGGATAGATAGTTCTTATGAGGGTTCACCTAGTAGACAGGTAGGACTTGCCTAGTCTCCCCATCTTTCTTTTCCTGTCCAACCTGAGTGTCCTTTCCTGCTAGCTTTCTTGTTCAACCCGTGACTGTTCTCTGAGTGTTCCCCACTCCTACCTCTTTCTCCCCCGAGAATTTCTAAAACAGCCAGGGAATGCTCACTCTCAGAATGAGCCATGGTAAAAGCTGGGCTCTCAGATTCCAGTTCCAAACACATTTCTTTACTTAGCATCCGAGAACGTTCCCTGTCTTCCTCATCTGAGACATGGGAGTGTACCGGGTCTCATGGGCTTGTTCTAAGTCACAAAAGAAAAAGAGAAGAGAAGAAAGAGAGATGCTTGACATTTGTTTATAATTATACATAATTATCACTATTCATCCAGGTCATGGCTCTAGAAAGAGCCATGTTGTTAGGGCGTGTGGAGGAGACCCTCACACAGAAAAACTTACAGAGGGAACACTCCCCCAGAGGTGTAGGCAAAGCTGAGGAGACACACCCAGGGACCAGCATCCATAGGAAGCTATTTCTACCCTAGACCTCAAGAGGAAAGGGAAGGAGTTGTTCCAGGATTGTGTGAAAGCTGCTGCTGTCGGGATGTGTCATCCACAGGGGCCTTAGGAAGGGGACTCAACCACAAGCCAGCAGTAGGAGAAGGCCAGGGTGGTGCATTTCTTAGCCTTTCTTCTCCCCTGTTGGACTCTCTGGCTGCTGTGTCCCCATGGTGTGGCCAAGCATAAGGACAAGGGAGGGATCTCCAATGAGAAGGTCAGCCCCAGAGGCTGAGCAAGGATGCGTGGGGATTGCGGAGACAGCAGAGAACACCCATACAGTCTGCTCCCAATCATGGCATGAGGGCTGCAGCCCTGATCTCTCTCCTCTGGTGTTGGTACCCTTGACACCAGTTTTGTATGTGGCTATGTGTTGTCCTCCAAAGCCACCCTCCTTCATGGTGTCTGCCACCATATGAGTGGCACCTGAGCATTTCTCTTGTTTTTAACCCTTGACTGCTCCCCTGAGCTCATGACACATGTGGTGCATGGGCGTTGGCGTTTACATCTCTTCCAGAGGACACAGTTAAGGCAGGGGCCATGCACATGACCCGTTCTCCTTGGAATTTGGCCCATGACAGATGCACAACAAATGATGGACAAATGGGTTTGTTTCCCAGATGCTCTGCTCTCAACTGTTGGAATTTGGAAGCCACATAAGTTCTCAAGCCAGCTGTGTTCTAAGGGAGCTCTGCTAGGGCTTGGATATAATAAAGCCTGACTTGTCCTAAGTTCCAGGCCCTGTGGGGCCTGAAGCAGGGCCAGGGAAATAAAGCAAGACATTCAGGATTCTCATGCAGAGAATTGGGATCCCAGCTGCCGTGACCTCTAGCCCCAGGGTGGGCTCCACACAGCCTTGTTTGCACCTGTGCAGAACATCTAAAAGCCCTACTCAGCTGTTTGGAGTGTTATCTGACCACCTGCCATGGTCTGGGCACCCGACTTGACTCCTCCATGCCCTGTGTGACAGCCTGCATGGCTCCCATGTGACAGAGAGGACAGCCACGGAGGTTGATAAAGTCCTGACACAGGAATGGTGGCCCGTTCCTGTGATGAGGCCCAGACCCATCCTCAACCCAAGCCTTCCACATTTTTATTCAAGAAAACCTCAGCTCTCTGGAGGCTGACCATTGCTAAGGAATTTTCCTTTGGCCTTCCATTGCAATTGTTGCTGAACTTCTTTTCAAACAGCTCCACTTGGCTCCTGCAGCTCCTGGCAGCTTGACTTCGGCCTGATATGAACCCTTGTCAGCGGCCTCAGGCTGGTACTCTGTAGCCCAGGCAGGGCAGGTTCTGCTGGCCAAGGGCCTCTGAGCCTCGCACACCCAACTGCATTGTGGACCAAAGGCAGAGAGCTATGCATTGTAGGCCTGGGTATGCCCTTTAACTGGACCCAGGAACCTTAGAGCAGCAGTTAACCTTCCTGAGTAGACCAGGTACCTGCTCAAAGCCAGACTTTAATGTCTGGAGCAGGCCTGAGAACCTGAATTTCTTTTTAAAAGCATTTTGGTTGGCGCATTATAATTATCATGATAGTGGGATTCATTGTGACATATTTGTATGTGCTCCTTTTCTAACCAGCATTGCTTACAGCCTTACAGCCAGGTCTTCTTAACTCAAGCTCACTCAGCACCCTTTTACAACAAATATTTTTTCATGGTCCCGCAACTATTTTTAAATGAACTTTGGTCCACAATGCAGTTGGGTGTGCGAGACTCAGAGGCCCTCCATGAAATCTGGGCTGGGCTGTTCTATTGGAGCTGGGATCCTTAATATAATTTAATGCTCTACAATCAAAGGAAAATTCAGAGGAAAGTAATTTATAATACAGCAAAACGAATTTTAGTATTGTACCCATTCTTTTGATAAGTTTGAATTTCAGAGAAGATAGTAAACCTTTATATTTGACCCTTGAAATAAAGTTTACATAAACTATGTGAGTATGTATGAAGACTCCATATGCATGTGACAGGGACAAGTATTGATAGACACAGATATGCCTTCAAATCTAGGAGTGGTACTGCTCGTAAAACTCCAAGTGTTAGTAAGTTTTCAAATAAAAAATGTACTCTTAACTTGGTTCTCACACCCTTGAAATAATCATCATATATTAAAATGAAGCAGAAAAATATAGACCTTATGTTTTCATGTAAAACAGCCTTAGATCCCAGGCTCTCATGAAGAGTTTTGTTTTTTCTTTTTGTGAATGTCAGGAAGGTTATTTGCAGTCAAGCAGGACAAATATTCATTTGTAAACTGTCCTGTATATTGCCGGATATCCTGAATCCCTGCCTTCTACCTACCAATTTTCAAGTGTTATCTCCCATGAATGAAATAATCAGAAATTTCAGATTACCTCTGGGGATGGACTATTCTCCCCAAAATCATGTCCACTGAGCAGATTCCTCATAGGTCTGGTGCTCTGTCCACTGAGCTGGAAGAAGCAAGACCTCTAGGAATCCGGGGACAGGTCCTGCCAAGGGACTCATAGTGCCAGAAGGACTGTCTTTAGTGGGTCTGCTTCTGTTCTATTGCTGTTTCTGGGGGGTAAGTATTTTATCAAATCCCCATTTCCATGCAGAGCAATGGTGAATTTCCCCAGTATAGTTCAGAATCCCAAACCCATCCTACTTGGATACAAACCCTGACCTTTCCCCCACAGGAGCTCAGCAGACACTACTCTCCCACAGCCCTGTTATGCTGCAGGTGGGTTGGAGAGCATTAATTTGCCTATAAGGTACTCAGGAGAGCAGAACCAGGCTCAGAGTCAGTGGTACTCCAAAGGCAGGTGGGCAGTGAGGACCACTACCATTGGAAGCTCCCCAGTGTCCAATGAGACCTGGGTTGTAGGACTCTAGGAAGAGTTCTTGATATTTAATAACAGAAATGATGTGATGGGACACAGAGAATCTGATGAACATGGTCTTGTTTTAAGTTGGTCACAGACATCTCTTCTGAATCTGGAGATGTGACTAAGAGCAGTTGCATTTCCTGTCATTAAGTGGACTCTCACCCAGAGATCACACACAGGGAATCCTAAAATGTTTGAGGTACCTACTGCTTGTAGAAAAAAATCACCCCAAAAGCAGTGGTCCAAAGCAAAGTTTATTTCTGAAATCTGGGCTGGGCTCTATTAGGCTGTTCTATTGGAGCTGGGATCCTTAATATCTGGAATTTGCCCCAGATTGAGATCCAGGGTGGAGCCTCAGCCCTGGGGATCCATCTAAGAGAGAAGGGCTAGAGGGGACAAAGGACTTTGTGACATCTCTCTCTTCCTGTGGTCTCACCAGCACAGTATCCAAAGCCCCCTGCTTGATAACTCTAGTCTCCAAGAATGTGCCTCAACTGTCACTCTCACATTCTAATGGTTAAAGCAAGTCCCCAGGGTAGCCTTGTCTCAGGGCCAGAGAAGAGTGGCAAGGAATTTGTGATCATTTCTAAACAACTGTTCAAAGCAAATTGCATTGCTCTCTTTCCCCACTACCCAACTAGAACAAGGGAAGGCTTTCACCCCTGCCTTGGGGCAGAGGAAAGGTGCAGCCCAATCACTAGAGGTGGCTGGGACATAATCATGACCTCAATGAGACCTGAGGACTGTGGTACCAGGCTATTTCCCTGGTAACCAGTTGGGTCCTGAGGAGCAGGGAAGGGTCAAGTGGGGGTGGGGAGGGCTGTGAGTCCAACACTGCAGGTTCCAGCCAGTGTCAGAGTAAGAGCAGGGACAAGCACATCCAAGAGGTCAGCCCAGGAGGTTGCTTCTGTAGTGGGTCTCTCACTGGGGGCAGTCAAATATTTGAGGACCAGTCCATGCATGAACAAAGGATCCTCAGAAATGACATTACTAAAGAACAGTGTGACCCTTACAACTCAAATAGAGCCAATTCTCATACTTAACACACCACATTATAACAAACTTGCATCATTTTGATCCAAACTAGAAATACACTTTAAGGGCTGTTTTAAGGAGGGCTGAGTCTTGATGGTGTCTAGGTTTTTCATGTGGAGGTGT